GGACTTCTGCCTCCAAACAGAATTATATTAATTTTAAGATATCTAGCTTCTTCAGACTAAGTAGGTAAGATTAAAAATATTGGAGACAAATTTCCACTAAATTTAAAAAGTTTCTTCTTTCCTGACCCAGGTGAAGCAGGGATGTTTGAATCTGGTGCTTTGGTTTGTGTTCGCTTTCAGCTTTCTTTCAATCCTGTAAAATGGTCTCCACACCTTGTGTTGAGATGGGGTTGTTAACAGGAAACCTCTGCATGGCAACAGCCCTGGGTTTTGGGGTTTTTGTTTGTTTGTGTTTTGTGGGGGGTTGCTGGTTGTTGGGCTTGTTTTGTTTTGTTTTCTTCTGGTAGGTGTTACTAATAGTGTCAAGTCACTGTGTACTGGTTTTGCCAAACACTGTTTCTTACAGAGCTTTTTATATAGAAGTGCTTTTTATTATCATTAGTTGTTAGAAGCCAAAGCATTCTTAATATCATAAGGTATGCATCCTAGTAGATCAGAGACAGTATGTTTATTGGCTTAGTATTTTTAAATTAATGTTGCATTTCCTGGTGGTTTGAATTTCTTCCTTACCACATTTCTTGAGGAAAGGGCAGAATACCTATCTGAGACTGCATCAGCACTCCCTGCATGGCATAGAACTTCATTGGGTTTTAATATTTCATTATGAAAATGAACTAATTTCCCAAAGTTATTTTGCAGCAATTAACTGCATCCATTTTCTGTGCAAAAGCTGAATGTGGTTATCAAGAAGCCGCAAAAACGCTGATGTTAGAAATTGCTTACAATGTTGGAAATATTAGAAACATTTACGTTCTTTAGTGCTAGGAATAATGTTACAGAAATGGTTATGCTTTAGACTGTGCCTCCAAATTACTGCAGAAACACACCCCAAATGTTGTTTCTCTGTCTTCCAAAGCCCACCTTGGGGAGCGGCAGAAGAAGACAAACCTCTGCAGTGTCAGGGAACCTATATCGGAGGCCCGTAGAGGTGTGCCGAAACCTCAAAGAATACCCAGTTATCTCTGCCTTTCCAGCAACAAGTATGGAAGGAAGAATTTGAAAGCAACTACTGCTAGTATTTGCATGCTTGCTGGTCTGGAAACTTCCTCAATAGCATGCACTAACGGTTTAGGATAAAGTCTTTCTGTGATTTTTTTTTTTTTTTTTAACTCTTTAAAAGTATCTTACTGTCCACACAGCCCTGTTTAATAGCTGCAGAGAACCATAAGACAAAACTGTACTTCCATATGCTATTTGCAGACATTTCTGGTGAGTTGGGAAGCTGGGGTTGCTCTGATAAAACTATATACATGCTGCAGACTGAAGAGGGAAGATCTTTCTGCAGGTCCTCAGAAGAATTTCTGATTTCCCTCTAAAAGATGTGCTAATATCAGTTGTCAGCTGAATTTTGCTATGTGAGTTATTTGCTAAAAGAAAGCTGTTTCTTGGGAACTATTAACTTGATAAATCAAGTTGCTGCTAATGTAACTAAAGATATCTTACTGGCATTATGTTACTACTTGTCATATTCTAATGGCAGTGAAGTGCCTGGAAAGCAATTTTGTTGTTTACTCTTATGCCTGTGTAAATAGCTAATTTATCCTAATGACTGGATGGGACATAATTGGGAGTGAATATTCAAGGATGTAATATGCATATTAATTATGAGTGTGAACTGGCCATCAAGAAGACTCTTGTCTCCTTGATCCTCTTAGTGCTGCTAAACATCATTATCTTTTCTAATGAGCCATGATGACTGAAAGTAGTACTGTTCTACTCTGGGAGTCTGTTGTAGATGCCTGGTTCCTAAAACAATTTCCCCAGAGAGTTTTCAACAGATTAAAAGTGCTTATGGGACCTCCAGAGCTCCTGCACTTGCAAGATCTAACTTTTTTTTTTTTTTTTTTTTTTTTAAGGCTTATATCCCTGGGAAAGGAGGTAGCATGGGTAGCACTGGGGCAGTGTGTTAGGAAAGCCAGATTGTCCTCGCAGCTCTGTGCTTGCCTAGTCCCTGCGTGATGTTGGAGAAGTAGCTTTGCTTCTGTAAAGCAGGGCATGAAAAAGGGTAGTGGTTGCAACCAAAGGTCCTGGAGTGTTGAAATATCAACAGAATCTTGCTACAGGAAACCCTGCAGTGTGCTGCAGCCGGAAAATGTCTCTGTGCTTTCCTGTATAAATATATGGGAGGGAAAAACCGAAATTCAGCTCTTAGGACACACAAAATATTTTTACACAGTGGAACTGTTAATCACTTTCATTGAGAGAATGAAAATATTCCATAGCAGAGACACTGTACCAAATCCATAAAATACTACTATAGAGAACACATTAGAAGTGGCAGCATATTGTTGGCTTAGTGTTGCTCTTGGCTTTGTTGGAAGATATGTAAATATTTCATAATGTATCTTTATAAGTTGGAACTTAAATTTAAATAGCCAGTTGGTTCATTGCAACTATATTGCCTTCCATAGTTGGTTCACCTGGTTCAGCTGCTGGTTTGTGGTTTGATCAGTTTGCAAGTGAAAAATAACCATGGAAAAAGTTAAGCCTGGTTGAAGCAAGTTTTTTTTATTAATGCAAGCACATCCAGTCAAACACGGAATATCCTGCTTTATGGTACAGCTTTATATTTAGCATTTCAGCTCAGAATAGCGATACACAGTATTTAAGGAATGTATCAAACTGAGGGAGGAAAAATAAAAGGGAACCAATGTGGATACTGCATTGATTTCAAGTATATACTAGGACTGATTGACCAGTGAAGTGCACATTCATGTGAAAGCTTTTTTTATACATTTACAGAAAGTGTTCTAAAATCGCATTTCAAATATATACTTTTTTCTTAAATTTTAAGCATCCCTTTTAAATTTCAGTTACATAAACAAAGCTGATATACAATCCCTCTTATAGTGTCCAACAATGTTACTAGCTAGAACATCTCTGAAAGTGCAAAACACTGTAATAATACAGTATAAATATTCTTACTCTAATCCAGGGCTGAAGGTCAGTACTTCAGCACAGGAAAAATAGCAGCAGATCATAAGAATTATCCCTTCCCCTTTTCTGGGCTGTTCCTGTTAACAGTTAGTATTCGACTTCTTCCTTCTTCATGGCATAACTTAATTTTGTTTCTCTCTGATGTCAATGCTATGGGAATAGCAAAATGTTGATTTATCTCCCTTCCTTACCCAACTTACTCTTCTAATTTTAAGTATTTGTCAAGGGTGGAGTGGAACAGGGAGAGAGGGAAGGCTCTTTAATTTTTCACTGTACTACAGGGCCAATACAGCAAATAATTTCTATTAAGTGATTGCAGATGCTATATGAAACAGTGGCACTGCTCTTGGTTGTAGGCACTCAGCAAGAAGAGTTTACTGGACTGGAATAAGCCAGACCCCTGGTCCAGCAAGTCTTGCCCCTTCTTCAACAGAAGGCAGAATAAGACAAAACCCATCTACTTAGAGTTGATAATTTTTAAAGAAGCTTGTGCAGAGGTCCTCTGTGAGGCTCTATGAGGGAGGCTGCAACCACTGTGAACTCTAGAGGGGCTTTAAAAAAAAAAATATCTAATTGTCTGGCTCAAGTCATTATCTTTACAAATACCCATCCCTCAGGCCTTAAGAGAACAATTATTGGAAAGGACAGTAGATATTAATGGGTAATAATTTGTTCATTAAATAAAACAGTTTTTAATCTGAGCCTATTTTTTTTTCTTTCTTAATTCAGAGATCAGGTGAGAAAGTAAGTCCTGAACTGTGTGGTTTTTTCCTGGAAATGAATACCTTGAATCCTAACATAAAATAAGCTCCTCAGGTGCTCATCTGGATAGCCAAGTTAGGTGTAAACTCAAGGCTAAAAGTGGAAATTAGAAATGGCAAGCATCAGCAGGTTTACAGATCATCTCTAATTTTGGTACTGGCCTGGGTTCAAAGGTTTGACCAATTTCTTACAGTGTTTTCCCTTAGATTTCAAAGGGTTCTGGCCCAGACAGTTAATAATGGCTTGCAAAATACTAGAAAAAGCTTATATCATAAGTTGGTCTTTGCTTTAATTGTCTGTAAGTGCAGACTAGCATTTTTGAAGGAAACAAGGGAATTAAATGCCCAGTCCAGTGGCGATGAACTCTTCTTAAGCTTCTTTGGGAATTTTAGCCTTAACTTCAAATTGGACATCTGAGTTTAATTCCCTCTCCCTAGCTCACATATGATTTTTATTTCCCAAAAACTGTTTTCAAAAAACCATATTGAGCCTGTTTTGCAGAGATAATCTAGGTTAGACATCATTCTTTTAAAACAAAACAAAAAAACCCGCTGATTTTTAAAAAGGAAAACACAAACTATTCTGACAGCCAGAATTTAAAGGATAGTTCCCAGAAGTATTAAAACTTAGACATGTGTGCATCTTCACACATGCACGCACACATACTCACACACAAACACACATCCCCCAGCAGTTACCCCATCTTATCTCTTTAAATCACGTAACAAAAATATGTTTGCTGCACCATCAATGTTACAGGCAGGTATACTCTACTTCATGTGCCATATTCTCCATTTTATTTAAAAAGTACATTGTAGCTGGTTTCGAGACATCCGTACTTTTATTTTCTTTACTTCCAGTCCAGCGTAATAGAAGGTACACTAAACAATATCAGTACCTTGTAAGGCACTATTTTTTGATTTAGGAGAGGAACACGCTTACTGCAGATGTCTAAGGCCTTGACTCTACAAATGCTTACTAACACATGTGAATGGTATCGCTGATTTGAAGGAGACCCTTCACTTCAAAGCTAGAGGGACATGTTGAGTGTTCTGTAGGATACTGGTCCAATAGAGCATTTAACCTGAACACTGGCTTTAGTTGGGATGTGTGTTTTAATTTTTATTAATTTTGGTGGAAGTAATAAAAAATAAAAATTTGGATGCTGATAGAATAAGATCTCCCCAGGGATACCATCTCCCATGATACATTTCATCTCTGAGAACAGGGCCCTGCCCTTATATTTAAAATAAAAAACCAAAACCCTTCACTTAAGTGCCTTAAGGTTGACATGTGAAATATTTACCACATCTTATTTCATAAAAGTTACTGTATATACAAAAGAGACCTCAACCAGTGAGGTCTTTTTTAGCTCAGTCCAAGTCTTTCAGGTTGTAAAAACACGTTCATTCAATGTGCTTCAAAGTGTGTAGATCAGACCCAAAAATCTCAGGCTCTGTTAAGCAGAGTTGTCCTAGAAGAAGTAGTAATAAAAAAATAAAATTATCTTTTTTATCACAACAAAAAGTTTTACAGTTTTGGTAAAGGTTGGCAATAGATCTATCTTGCGTCATTAGCTGGAAGCCTTTCTTCAAGGGATAGATTTTCAATTGCTATAAACTGGAACACATCTATGAATTCCAATAAAGATGCTGACTTTAAATGAAAATTTAACCTTCGTAACATTATTTCAGGCCCTTAAGATGTGCTCAGGCAAATTAGATATGTTCCTCTATCATCCTAAACTATTGCTTGCTGAACAGCATTGGATTTAATGCAAGGTACGTTGCACGGGTGTCGTAAGTGAAAAGCTTAGGCGGACTTCCTAAGAAATGCTGGGATCACTGGCAAACAGTGTCTTGTCTAGGACAATACAGTCATAGCGTAGCTCAACTGCAGCTCGGGACATACTGACTTCTTCATTCATTGTTTATCTGGTACGGATACATCAAATCTAAATGTTTAACATGATTTACGAAGGTCTAAATCTCTCCTTCTGCCTTGGCCTCAGTATTAGAAGAAATCTCATCTAAATTAACTGATCTCATCATGTACGTGGAAGAGGTGCTTCCCCCTCTCAGAGGGAGGAGGAGTCATTGAGACTTTCTCCCTTAAGAGTAGGCCGAAAATTAAAGTATTCATATAAAATTTCATCCTTTTATAAGATCTGTAACTGTGTAGGTATGATAAATGATAGCACCTTCTTAGTATCGTTATATATTTGCTCCCCTGAGAAAACCATGTCTGAAAACTGCTACAAATGTAAATTCTCTTACTGTATTTGACAGCCTAAACAAAGTATATTCTCTTCTGTAGTCCCAGCAGTGATCTTGCAGCTTGAACTGAGCTGGCTGGAAAAACTCTATCAAAATCCAAGCCCAATTGAATTTTTTCAGATTTGAATTTTGAAGAAAAAATATAAATATTTGGGCCAAAATCGTCTTAAGCTGGGCAAGCAAATAGGAGGGAGGAAGCTGATGATCACCTGCCTGTTTATGTCTGCAAAAAGACTTATGTTCTGAGGAAGCTTCATACCTGAGTGTTTTCCAGCTGTCTTTTTCCATGTGGTTTTCTGGACCTTCACTTTCAAAGGATGCAATGAACAGAGCTGGTAAATAAAATAAGAACAATCAGATACATGGGTACTTTAACTAAAAAAAAAAAAAAAAGTTACAATAGAACAGGTTTCATTTAGCAGACTTCATTATGAAGTTTATTCTCATCACAAGCCAATACAGAAGTGATAATACATACTTATCAAATATTATTTGCATGTTAATTTTTTTCATCTGCGTATTCTGTCTGCATTTCAACAAGTAGGAAGACTCGCTATGATGTTCAATAAAGGATTTTACCTTCTTCACTATAAATGGGTGCTGTGAGTAGATAGCTCTGGATCTTCTTGTCTTTTTCAAAAGGGCACTCAACCTGCTTCCATGTCAGGAAATCATGAATCTGTCTTGAAATTTCCCAGAATTTCTGCATGAGGTAATTAAAAGAATATTATTAAAATCATATTTGTTTTCTTTCAAATACTAGTTCTGTTGTTTCAATTTCGGAGCCTCTCAGTCTTGTTCTTATTCATGCTTCTCTTATTATCCCTTACTCAGTCGTCTTCCTTGTTATCCCTTCTTCTTAGTGCTCCCTTCATCTCCCCCTCTTATTCCTAGCTCCTCATCTGTTGTTAGCCTCTCAAGTTTAGAATAGCATATCCCTGCTAACTGCCTGGTCTTTTGCATTAAATTCTTTTCGTCAGCAGTCTTTTCTTCATATATGAAAGTGCTATAGGCCTATTTTCTGTGTCTTATCTCTAAATTAGCCTGCGAGTGGAACTGGTCAGTAAATGGTTTTTATTTACTTTTTTACATTTCCAGCCTTCAACTTAAATGAAATGTGACATATATGATTTTTTCATAAAGTACTTTTTAAATTTAAGAAATAATAAAAATAACATATAGAAACTATAGATATCCTTTCCTTCCTAGGATTTTAAGAAATGCATAATTACTTAGGGTTTGTCTTGTGTATTCTGTGTGCTCCCCCTCCAGCCTTAATAATGGCAAAAACCTTCAAAAGTACTTCTGACAGGCTGTGGTCTTTTGGACATATATGTTTATTAGTCAGGGAA